AGGCCATTCTTTGCTGGTTTTTTTTTCCTTTTAATGATGAAAACGATTCCCAGTATAGTTACTTAGGAAGATGTTCCTGATTTTTTTTTTTTTTTTGACAGCTTACTCCATGTTATATAACAGTATATGTTGTAGGTGCGCAGTCACCGAAACTCATCCTGTATTTAAAAAATAGTTATTGCAGTAGTTGGACGAAAGTTTCACATAACTGCTCTGGTGTGTATTTTCCTACCTTTCACAGTTTGCTTTCCTTTGGTTTAAGAACTGAGCCTTCCCATCTTTGAGGGCTCCTCCCACCCTCACCTTTTGAATGCTAAATATCTGCAATTTTCTGTTAGTGAGTAGATATTTTACTCGACATGTAGAGACTAGTTTTCATTTTTAAAAACATCAGTAGGCCAACTTATTTTCTAAAGGTCCTCCTTTATTCAGCCATGATATAGCTTTTTTATTTTTTTAAGCAAGGAATTGATTTAGTGCATACAAACCTTTGTATTGTGTTGCAGGCATTGCTGCTGCAACATTTTCCCTAAAAAGCTCCGTCTTTTTCAGTTCTTTTTAGACTTCTCTTATTTTCATAAATTTAGTATGTTCCATTGTGGTGGGGTGTGTTCACCCACTCGGCCCAGTCCTTCACTGTTAGGTAAACATTCTGCCTGTTTGTGAATGAATTTTCCGTATCTCCTGTTCTGCTTCCTCTTTCTTAGCCTTCTTGGACTGTTTAGCACCTCTGAAAGCAGAGGAGGTGAAAGTGAAGTCAGCTCATATTTCTTATGTACTGATAAAAAGAGTTTGGCCAAGAAGGATGTGGAAGATAATATGGGGAATTTCAGTCCAACTATCCAAGTCCTGTTTATATTGAAGCAGAAAGGGCCCTATTTCAGTATTACACGCCACAGATGTTTGTTGAATTCGATTCTGTAGAAGCCTCTCCATATTGTAGTGGGATCTCTATTTTTAAAGGGCAAGAACTAGTTACATTAAAAACTGGTTAACATCAAATAACACTTTCTTTTTCCCGGTAAGTTGTATTGGGATTTAGTTCAGGCATAAGGGACTGTCTTCTCCAATTTAAGTGACTGAGTACGTTGAGCTTAGCTCAAGACTGAACGTTGGGAGAGCTCATTTATGAAGTAGGCATGGACCAAGGGGTGTAGCCGTCATGGCCAAAGGCAGAGTGTGTTTGGGCTGAGGTGTCACCAACCTCTGGCTCAGGCTGCCCTCTGTACAAAAGATTTTCTTTTTTGTTTTGTGAAGTTAGTTTCTCTTACAAAGTTACCATAAATATCATTTCCAAAGAGTCAGTAAGTCATCTAAATGGCACTCTTTAAAGATGGGGAGGAAGAAATTGCAGTTAGGAGTAGTCTTTCTCTCCAAGTTACCTGATGTAGGTAGTCCCTTTTTTATGTTTGTGAATTTGGGCCTGCAAGAGGCCTGACCTGAATCTGCTCCTAGCCATGGAGCTAAAAATAGGGCGCTCTTAGAGGACTTGCTAAAACCACGTGTCTCAGCCTTTCCCAGTGTCTGTCACTGTCTTGTTGCAAGTAATGATGGGAAAGCCCTCTTCCTACCTTTAGCTTATTCTCATTTCTGTAATGATTTACAAAAATAAATTTAACCTACTACTTGAGTTCTTCCTGAGTGTCTCTGAACTTGCACCATAAAGATTTTTTTAAAAAGTTGTCGTTTAACCTTGCTTCTCTTGCAGTGGTTTTGTTTGGCTTTGTAAATTATCAGCACCCCACACGAAGTTGTTGAGAGTTTTGCTTCTGAGCAATAGGTTTAGATTGATTCTGTGGAAACATCTTTGTTAAAAGTGGAGAAAAGCCATTAGTTATGCCTTCCATTGTTCTTTTATGGGAAATAGGCTTTACCAGCTTACATCTGCCACCTGTTGTTAGGTAAATGGCTTTAGCACTAGCTCCACTGTGGTAATGGCAGGAAGGCCCTGGCAGATGACACGGTGGCTTACTCATTCTACTAATGCCTTGATTCGGTTTCTGAAAGAAGTGCTGCTAAATGTCTTTTGAGTTGGCAAAAACAATTTCTATGGTAGTTTTTAAGAATATATGGATACCCTTCTGGTATTGGGAACTAACAGTATATATGAGGCTACTTTTTAATACTGCCCCAAGACAGCAGTGAAGGTTCAGCCAGTTAAGCTGAAAATCACCTGGTACACTATGAGTAACTCAGTTGCAGAGCTCAGCTACTACATCTTCAGTGTGTCTCAGTGTAGTAAGATATACTAGTTGTCCAGGCAGTTTTGCTTGTGGTTCTGTGGATATAAATGAACTTGACTGTTAGCCAAGAGAGCTGTAAAATGGGCAACTGGAGCCTTGCTTTTCCTGAATTCTCTGCTTACCCTAACATGAGACTCACTCAGTTATTTGGAGCTATAACTCACCCCCCTCAACCCTTTGTTTAGGGATAGGGCCTCACTATGTGGTTCAGTTTGGCTTCGAACTAATTATGAAGACCAGGTTAGGTTTGAACTTGAGATCTTCCTGGCTCAGTCTCCGAAGTGCTGAAATTATAGGTATCATCATGCCCAGCTGTAGTTCTTACTCTATTGACTTACTTTTGTAGAGTTGTGGATTGAAACCAGAGCCTTTGCTCTAAACCGGATCCCCAACCCTTTATCAGGTTTGAAAGAGGTCTAACTAAGTTGCCCAGGCTGGGCTCCAATGTGTAGTCTTTCTACCTCAGTCTCCCAGAGTGCTGAGATTAGAGGCGTATGCCACCATCCCTGACTTGGAACTGTAACTTTTTAACTTTACTCCTGTTAACATAAATTCTCAAGAGGCCCTGACAGTAGTTTAAGATGTGTTATTTCATTTCAGAGGGATGTATGTGTATATATGAGTGTGTATGTATGTAACCTTGACCATTTAGGGTACCAAGAATATCTTCATTTGAGATGCCTACTAATAGAAGAGTATTTTAACTTTCTCTTTAAGTGTGGTAAAGTATCAAGGGGATAGCCAGCTGGTTTCTAAGCATTGGTAAGGAATATTTATTTTAATTCAGAGCTCAGTTTTTTTTCTTTGGTACAGGGGATCGAACTCGGGTCCTTGCGCTTGTGCAGCAGGCAGAGAAACCACTGAGCTAAATCCCCAGCCCAAGAGCTCAGTTTTATTAAGACACAGAATACCAGTAACTTTTTGCTGAGCTGGTTATTTAACATAAGAAAACGGAGGCCACAAAGTGAGAGGATCTACAACATGTTTTTTAGGTTGGGGCTTTATGATTTTGGGTGTGAGAACAAATCTCAAGCCTCTTGAGATGACAGCATGCAAGAGTTTTTGCATCCTTTAGGCTGTTCACTTGGCTGTTCTCAAAGAAGACTCAAAAGTTTTGTGGGCCAGGGATTTAGCTCAGTGGTGCTGCCGCCTGCCTCGCAGGCACAGGGTACAAAGTTTGATCCCTGGTACCAAAAAAAAGTTTTGTAAGCTTCATAACTAAGGAGTTATTTAAGAGTGCCCTGCTTTTTCTAAAAAAAACCATGATGGACTTAAATTTCTACATAGGCCCACCAAGTACATTCAGAATTATTGGGGTGAAATCTCTCTTGTAGGTTTAAGGCCTCAAAGAGGATTATTGATAAAGTTGCCTATTTGTTCCCTGTTCTAACAAGCATAGGATGGAAGCTGAGCACTGCTTTTTTGTATGTCATGTCATGGTGCTTAGAGGAGGAGGTGAGAATGAGTAAAAATCTTGAAATTATAGAAAGGGAAATGGAGGGAAACTGCTGTTTATTGGTTGTCATGTTACTTTGAGTGTGAAAAAAGGCATTAGGTTTTAACTTAAATCCACTTTGAACAAAACACTTAATAGGGTGTTGCTTTTTCTTTTCAGGTATTGCACTCTCAGTCTCGCCATGTTGAAGTTAGAATGGCCTGCATTCACTATCTTCGAGAAAACAGAGAGAAATTTGAAGCGGTAATTTGTAATTTTAAACAAGTGATGGTGCCTTGATTTGAATTTACATTTTGGCTTTCAGAAGTGTTCTAATGGAAATTTTACAGGTTGTGAAAATAACGCTTGATAAAAAGAACTTCTTTATTGAATTTATATCCAATGGTAATCAGTTGTGATATTACCTGTGCCATTTTAGGTTACTCAGACATACCTTTTTTTTTTTTTTTTTTTGTGGTACTGGGGATTGAACTCAGGATCTTGCGCTTGCTAGGCCACTGAGCTACATCCCTGGCTCTATACATACATTTTTTAAAGTTCTGCTAAATATAACACTGAACTTTGGAGAATGAAAGGAAACGTGGATCAGAGTCCTTACACACCATGTGTGGACCTTCCTTGATGTGGTCAGGTATTTGGGTATTGAGATTTATAGTAGTTTTTGTATTGTTATTTTCCTGTGAATTAAAAAAATTTCAGATTTGGAGTATAAAAGAATATCCTGAGCATAAGTAATACCGAATCCCTAATTTTATCAGAAGCATTTACAGAGTTTTAATTTTCAGAGTTCATTGTGAAATCATGTATTAGAACACTAATTATGTAAGTGGTGATTAATAATTAATAAACTGTTGTGTAACAACTTACTATAATTTTCTCAGTAGTACATAATTGGCTGTGAAATAAGATGGCACAGTGACCTATTTTCTTTTTACATTCAAAGTCTTACTAGGTTTTGGTGTTATGACCTAGAATTAGGTAATTTGATGACTTTAAATAATATTCCACATTGACTGGTAAAGAACATTGGCACTTTGCAGTTAACTAAATTTTGAGACAGGTAAGGAGTTCTTGGTTTGAGTGTGCTCTTGAGTTGTTGTTCCCTAAATTCAAGCAAATTGTGCTGTGGTCTAGGGTAGATAGTAGTATATTCTAGGAAAAAGGGTAACTTGCTTGATCAGATGGTTTGAAATCTTGCGTTATTAAAAAACTGGCAGCATAGAAACTGGTAATGTAGATGACTAGGGTGTGGTGGTGGTGAAGAGAGGAGGAGTGGTCTATAAATATTTGAAGAAATTAGAGGTGAATAATTATTATTGGCCCCAGAGGGTAAAACTGTGTTGATGATAATGAACATTGTTAACCTTGGTTGAATGTTAATTGAGCACTTACACCCTTTAAGTACTTTGCATATATTTAGCCCATATAATCTTAGGAGGTATGATCAGAGGTTGAAAGTTCTAAGGGGGAAAGTTTTATGTTCATTACAATAGGAACGTGTTAGCTAGAATTGGAAAGGGGTGTTGTGGAAAGGATATGTCTTGTTACTGACATTATTCAGCCATGGGGTTTATACTGGACTCTTTCTACTTAGAAAAGAGGCTCAGATTGGTTGCAGGCTTGTGTTAGGATGCCATTTAGAGCTCTGCCAATTTTAAATGGTTCTGGTTTGTTTTTTTAAGGTTTGTGAATAATCACCTCTAATATGAAATAGTAGTATCTGATTGGTGTGATATTTAAAATATATATTGAAACTTTAGATAAGTTTTGGGGATTTGGTAAGATATAATTTATAAAAGAACCTTAATCTTTAAAAAAATTCATAGGTATTTAGCTTTTACAGGCTAGGGGAGTATACTTTAATGTTTTAAAATCTGTCTTTGTTAAATGGGGCTGTAATTTAAATGAAATTGAATGTAGTGGATCAGATGAAGTCTTTTAGAGCTTTCTCAAATTAGTGCATTTGCTATGAGAAAAATAGAAAAAAGGTTGGTGATCACATAGCTGGAATAAACTCATTTTACGTGAAAATGACAAAGCAAGCTGTATTTTAAAAATCTTGCTTACGCTTGAAATGTCTTAAACATTACTAGTTCACATCTTTCTTAGTATAACTGGCCTAAGAGACACTGAATACTTAGATCTGTGTTACCAAGATACATTTTTCTTAGCCAGTTAGCTGTTTTATTCTGTTCTACACACAAGCCACTACCAAATTAATCTTTTTTTTGGTACTGGGAATAGAACTCAGGACCTCACACTTGCCAGGCAGGTGCTGTGCTAAATCCCTGGCCCCCAAATTAATCTTAAAACATTGGTTTCATCATGTTGTTTCTCAGTTCAGAATGTCATCTGCAGTGACCTTGAATTGCCTTTCCTGTCTAGTCTGAAAGTCCTGCCTGGGCTCCAGGCCTTCTGTAAACAGTCCCTCGATTGGTTTCCTCTCTTACTCAGCTCTCTACCAAGTTGCTCCACTCTGGCTGGCCAGCTTGCTTCTGTGTTGGTGCCACGGTGTTTTTCCTCCTCACACCACGTTTGCTATCTTTGTACAGTGTCCACTCCTTGTGCCCATCAAGATTCTGGCCAGCCTTCATGTTGACTCACTCCTCTTCTCTGAAGCTTTCCCTGACAGTGTTTCTTTCAATTCTTTTGTATGTTTATGATCTTTAATAATTTGGACACACTGCCATAGATTATATATTTTACTCTTGCTGATGTATCCTAGGTTTGCTTATGTCAAAGTGAATATTATTTATATGGTGAAGCAGTTAACTGTTCTGACAGTTCATAGATAACATTCCTAATAGACCTTTATTTTTTTGCAGTTTATAGAAGGTTCATTTGAAGAATATTTAAAACGTTTGGAAAATCCACAGGTATGTGGCAGTCTTCTAATATATTTCTATTTGTGTATATCCAAATAAGGTACTTAAAATTCATTAAAATGGAAGCTTAATAGTATAATGTTTGGGGGTTTCAGTGACAGTGTGCTTTATTTCTTTGTAAACATTTTCTACAGATGTTTATACATATTGTGCAGTATTTAATTGGTAGATGAGTGGAGTGGTATACTAGAGGTTGCCTCATTAGGACAGTCATGCTGTTTTTCTGTTTGTCATAATGGCACTTGAATATAACATAGAAAATTCTGAAATAGCACTGGTGATGGTTTTCAGGATGCTTGTGGGACTTGGTGGACAGGCAGAGTTCTCTCATGAAGGTTCCGTTTCCCGTGATCAGCTTATGAAGGGCAGAAATGAGAGAGAAGGATGGCAGTTTTACCATGCTTTCTCAGTCATGTTGAAATTAAAAGAATTTTTTTGCTTATAAAACTAATTTTCTCTTTAGTGGGTATAAACAGTATTAATATTAAAAAAAACCACTAATGTTCTCACTGTAAAAATCCAAATATGGAATATGGGCTGGGGATGTAACTCAGTGGCAGAGCACATGTTTAGCATGCAGTAAGCCCTGGGAAGGGTTTGGAGCATCACAAGAAAGTAAGGAAAACCAAAAAATCTCCAAAATATTTTTCTTTTACGGTACTGGAGATTGAACTTGGGACCTTGGGCTTGCGAGGCCAGAACCACTGAGCTAAATCCTGGCCCCTTTATGTTTTTTTTTTTTTTGAGGTAGGGTCTCTATGCAGTTTAGGCTGTTTTTGAACTTAACTATGTTGCTCAGGCTGGCCTGCTGGGATTACAGACGTGTGCCACCATGCCTGGCACTCCAGATAGCATAACGTGCCATTTAGAACGTCAGAGTTTTCCACCATCCATTGTTACATTAAATATAATACTGACAGGGCCGGGGATTTAGCTCAGTGGTTTGGCCGCCTGCTGTGCAAGCACAAGGACCCAAGTTCGATCCCCAGTACCAAAAAAAAATAAATAAATATAATACTGACAAAGGAAGAAAGTAAGAAGAGAAGGGTTTTTAGTACATGTGCTGCCGAAGCGAGCACAAGAAGAGAAGGGTTTTTGATCATTGATCAGTGTATCCATTTGATTTCATAGCACTTAATATGAGTGCTTGAAGGCCAAGAATTTTGGAGATAAATGAGGTAACCAAAGAGTTTCTTTCTTTTTTTTTTTTTTTTTTTTTTTTTACCGGTAATGGGGATTGAACTCAGGACCTTGCACTTGCAAGGCAGGCGCGCTGCTGTTGCACTAAATCCTTGGCCCTCAAAGAGTTCCTTTAAACCACAGAATAACATCACATGCAAATTAGGAAAGTACATATGCCATAAGAAAGATGGATATAAGGCTGTAGGGACTGAGTTTTTCCATCTGGGTAGACAGATTAAGAGTGAACTCACATTTGAAGTCTAAATAGATTGTAAATAAACAGTGTCTCAGCTAAAGGGCATCCCAAGCAGTGAAAACTGAGCAAGGCAGGCTCAGGAAACAGCTCAGCTTGTGTGGAGAGCATGGGCTGTGTGAAGTTGAGAAGTAGTGAGAAGCTGTGAGTGGTGAAGTATGCCTGGAGTCCCATCTGTGTAGAAGGTTGAGGCCAGAGGATTGCAAGTTTGAGCTCTGTGTAGGCCACTTAGCACAGTTATCTCAAAATGAGAAAAAATAAAAGTACTAGGGAATGTAGCTCAGTACAAAGGCCCTGGGTTCAATCCCCAGTACTGCAGACAAACAAAAACTTTTATTTTAAATTTACATGTAATAATAATACATATTTATGCATTTCAGTACATGTACACAATGTGCAGTGATCAGGGTAATTGGTATATCTATCACTTGGAACAATTATAAATTCTTTTAGTTGGGAGTTTTCAAAGTCCACTCTGTTAGCTATTTTGGAGCACAAAGTTATTGTTAGCCATCATTATACTACTGTGCTTTAGAACATTAGGATTTATTCCTCCTAACTGCACTGCTGTTCCCCTTACTCATCACTGCCTTACCCCTCTGGGCACTCATAACCACTATTCTACTCTCGACTTCTGTTGAGACCAACTTTTATAGTTTCTACATACAAGTGAGGATGTCCAGTATTAGTGAGGCCTATTTAAAATGCTTTAAAAATTATTTACTATATGGAAAAAAGTGTAAAATTAGTAACTACACTTGCATTTCAATTTTGGAGACAAACCCTCCTGAAGGTTTTTTCTCTAAACCTACCCTATTTTTGAGTAATTCTGAAACTGAATTATATCCGTATGTTATCACTAGTTCATTTTCCTGAAGTTCACATTATTCTCTCTTAGATTAGTAGCCTCTTTGAAGGTAAAGCTTGTATATTTTTATTGATTCAGAGTTTCCATAATAAATCTTTCAATTTGTTGAATGTTAAATCCGTATTGTGTTATTTGTGATAATGAAGATGAACACCAGAATGTTAACAGTTATCTACAGGTAGCAAATATTATAGGTGAACTTTACTTCCTTTTTAGAAAATACAGGAAATGTGACAAAGGCCATTTACTAATTTGTGAGTCAGAAAACTGTGTGGTGGTGCATACCTGTAATCCCTGCACTCTGGGAAGCTGAGTCAGGAGAATGGCAAGTTTGAGCTGATCCCAGACAACTTGGCAAGACTCAGGCTCCAAAGAAAAGCTTGGGAATTTGTGGCTCAGTGTGAAGGCCTGGATTCAGTCCCCAGTACTGGGGGTGGGGTGGGGTGGGGAGGGCATGGTGCTGTTTCTTGATACCCTTTGTGCAGCATTTCAGACTCTGGCCATGAAGGGCTCAGCTAGGATAGAACATGATGGTGATGGTATTGGAGGGGAGAAGGCGAGGAAATGAGGCAGTGTGCACTCAACTCAGACTGATTTGGTTTGAGGATTGATTGAAAAGGAAGGCGCTTTGAGCACCTCAGATAAGCTATCTGGCCAGATTTCTTTATGAAGAAACAGAGGTCTTATTCTTAGGATAGCTCTTCCCCTATCTGATCAAACCTCTTGTCCATGACATGGGCAACTTCTGAAGAGTTTTCTTTGTTATTAGCAGCAAATATTTATAAATCTTTGCTTTTTTTCCCCTCCCCAATATACAAGATATATACAGTGAAAACAAATAATAGTGGATCAACTCCACTGCTTCATTTACTTCTCAGCGAAAGCACCTTGATCCTTTTAAAAATGCCAGTAGAGGGCTGGGGATGTAGCTCAGTGGCGCCGCACCTGCCTGGCAAGCGCAGTGCCCTGAGGTTGATCCCTGGTACCGCACAAAAAAAAGGTAAACATGCCAGTAGAGCGTTTTGGAAAATGTATCAAACTTCTTCAGAAATATTTTTGTCAGCTTTATTGAAATATAATTGACACCCAGTTATACAAAACTCCATATGGATTTAACATTATTCACAATTTATTTGTTCAAAATAAAACTCGACAATCTTAAATGTATAATTCAATGAAATTTGACAAATGCATAGAGTTGTGTAACCACCACTACAAATATAGGACACCCCATCACTGCAGGAGGTTCCCTCACGCCCTTTGCACTTGATCTCCTTCCTGGTTTCTGACAGTTACTCCTTTGCTTTCTAAGTTTTGGCTTTTTAGATGCGTGTGAGAGAATGTGTATACAATTTGTAGTATTACATACTTGGCCTCTTTCACTTAGCATAATGGAAACACCTTAAGATTCATCCATGTTGTTGTGCGTGTTAGTAGTTTTTTCTTTTTTACTGCAGAGGAGTTGTTCATTGGATAGAAGTCCCACAGTTTGTCTCTTTGACAGTTCTTTTCAGTTTTGGGTTGTCAAAATTGAAGCCACTGTCAATATTTGCATGTAGGTCTTTGTGTGGACATGTGTTTTCTTTTCTCGGGTTAATGCCTAAGAGTAGAATTGCCGGGTCATATGGTAAATAAATGTTTAATTTAGAGAAACTGCTAGACTGTCTCCGAAAGTGGCTATACGTTTTACTTTCTTACCAGCAATATGTAAGGATTCCAGTTGTTCCACTGTTTTATAAATGCTCGCTGCCCACCGTTAGGGTGTATGTGTGTGAGGTTAGGAATTGAATCCAGAGCCTCTCCTGTGCTAGGCAAGTGCTCTTGTGCTGGGCCATAGTCCCAGCCGTTTTTATTTTGAGGCAGGGCCTCACTAAACTGCCCAGTCTGATCTGAAACTTGGGGTCCTCCTGCCCTAAGCTCTGGAGTAGCTGGGGGTTATGGGTGTGTGCTGCCAATGTCTTAAGAACTGTTAGAATGAAAAGTCTCGCTGGGGGGATCCTTTTCTGAGATCAAAACATTGTCTAAAATCTTTTTCTTATTTGTGTGTGTGTGTGTGTGTGTATGTGTTGTGTGTCTTGTGTGTGTTTTCACAGAAGAAATGACAGTGTTTTGGTTACCATAGCTCGTTATTTTTCAATGACTTTCGATATTAGGTCTTTACTAATTTCACAAATATCTAGAAATGTGATCCTAAGTTGTAAGATTTTAAAATATGGATGCATACAAAATGAAGGGTGAACATATTCTTTCTCTTGAATTTTCTCTCTGTCAATTTAGTGTCTATCCTTGCAATTTTCTTTCTCTGCACGCACGCACACACACGTACAAATACCTTTTTGTCTTGCCTTTTATACAAATAAGTTTATTTTACTCTGCCTCTTTTTAAACTTTCTAGACTTGAGTTATCTTTCTAAGTCTTCATGTAAATATACTTCATTCTTTTTTAAATTTTATTTTATTGATACATTTTAGGTATACAGTATAATGACATTCATCTTTGGATATTTGCACCTTTACATAATCTCTCTTGGTTCTTATTTTTTCCCCATTCCCCTGCCCTCCCTTCAACACCTCCATCCCTCCCTATTTACAAAGACTTTGTTTCCATTTTTTCCTTTGCTCATATTAATTCCATTCCCTTCTTTCCTTTCCCTACCCCTCCAACTTCCCCTTCCCCTTCGCCCCTTTTCTTCCTATTACACATTATCTGTTATACCTTTTAGTCTTTATTTACACTTTCAGTTTCTCACACTAGAGAAACTATTCGGTGTTTGCATATGTGTGTCCTGTTTATTTCACTTAAGAGTATTGCCTCAATGTGCATCCATTTAGCTATAAATGTCTCTAATTTCAAATTTTTTATGACTGAGCAGGACTCCATTTTAGAAAAAAACTATTTTCTTTATCCAGTCTCCAGTTGATGGGCAGTTGGACTGCTTCCAAGTTTTAGCTGTTACAAATGGTGTTCCTATGAACATGGGTGCACATATATCACTGTGGTATGATTCTTTTAATTCTTTGGGGAAGATCCCCAGCAGTGGAATAGTGGGGTCAAATGGGACTTCCAGTCCTAGTTCTTTGAGGTATCTTCATACTGATTTCCTCAGTGGTTGCACCAGTCTACACTCCACCAGCAGTGCAACAGTGTTCCTCTTTCCCCACAGCCCTGCCAGCATTTGTTATTGGTTGATTTCTTGATAGCAGCCATTCTTTCTGGGGTGAGGTGGAATCTCAGTGTTATTTTCACTTGCATTTCTCGAATGACCAGTGATATTGAACATTTTTTAATGTATTTATTTGCTATTCCTACTTCTTTGTCTGAGAAATGTCTGTTCATTTCAGATGCCTATTTTTGGATTGGGTCTTTAAATTTGGGAGGTCTGATTTTTAAAAGTTATTTATAACTTTTTTCGGGAGGTCTGATTTTTTTAAGTTCTTTATACATTCAAGATAGTAGACCTTTGTCTGAGGGACAGCTGGTGAAAATTTTTTCCCACATTGTAGGTTGTCTCTTCACACTGGTGGTGGTTTCTCTTGCTGTGCAGAAGTTTTGTTTTTTTTTTGGTGCTGGGGATTGAACTCAGGTCCTTGCGCTTGTGCAGCAGGCGACGAAACCACTGAGCTAAATCCCCAGCCCCTGTGCAGAAGCTTTTTAATAAGAAGAGATCCCACTTGTTGATTGTTTGTGCTAGTTCATGGGCAGCCTAGGTTTTGTTCATAAAATCTTTTCGTACACCAATGTCTTCAAGAGTTCTTCCTAAACTTTCTTCCAGCCGGTTTAGTGTTTCTGTTTTAATATTTAGATCTTTAATCCATTTCGATTTTAGTTTAGTGCATGGTGAGAGATATAGGTCTAGTTTTAGTCTTTGGTAAGTTGAAACCCAATTTTCCAGCACCATTTATTAAAGAGGCTATCTTTCCTCTATTGAGGGTGTTTGGCTCTTTTGTCAAAGATGAGGTGGCTGAGCATGTCTGGAGTTGTTTCTGTGTCTTCTAATCTGTTCCGCTGGTCCTCAGGTCTGTTTCTTTGCCAGTACCATTCTGTTTTTATCACGGTGGCTTTGTGGTATAGTTTCAGGTTCAAGTTGTGATATCCCCTGCCATGCCTCTGTGGCCTAGAATTGCTTTTGCTATTCTAGGTCTCTTTTTCCAAATGAATTTTTGGATTGTTTTCTCCAGGTCTGTGAAGTATGCTGCTGGGATTTCAATTGGGAATGCATTGAATCTATATAGCAGTTTTGGAAGTATAGCCATTTTCACTATGTTGATCCTTCCTACCCAGGAGCAAGGGATGTCTTATACTTAATTCTTTTCAATGAGTGCTTGTTTTTCTATGTACACTTGAAACACTATTTAATTTCATAGGATTCTTAAGTTTTTTAAAACACATATAGCTTATAGTGATACCTGTGTTTATATATATTTTTGTGGACATACAAAAGATTCCTAGTCATAGTTAGAGAAGTTGAGTTGCTGAGTCAAAGAATGTGTGGGCACTCAGTGGTGCACATCTGTACTTTCATCTGCGGGGGGAGGATGAGGCAGGAGGTTGCAGGTTCAAAGCCAGTGTGGCAACTTAGCCAAGAGCCTGTCTCAAAACCAAAAAGGGGTAGGATGTAGTTCAGTAATACAATTTCCCTGGATTCACTCCCCAGTACCACTACCAACAATAAATGTATGGGCATTTAAAATTTTAATATATACAGGCCGTTTGTCTTGTAGGAAGGCCTGAAGGGACTTCTTAAGTAGTTTCCCTTTTGTACCTTCATAAACCGTGAAGATAGGACACCTGCCCTTTTTTATGTTTTCTGATTTTTTTGCTTCTATTCAGCATTTAATTTTCTGGGTTTATACCATATTGCAGGTTCTGTCCTGGGTACTAGGTTGGAGGGATAGCCCTTACCTTCAACAAATTCTCCACTTACAGATGCCACTCCATGGTCTTGCCGAGCCAGAGGGAGTTATCATTACAGCCTATTTCTGTTACTAAAGGGTTTCACAATAGACTTGCACTACTTTTTAGTGTATAGTATAACTTGTTTTATAGAAATTTTTATAATACAATACTAATAATACTGACATAAGCTTATTAGGTACAGTAATATAAAGATAGGCATAAAGGTTTTGTTTTAAGTATATTCTAAAATGTATGAGACACTTACGTGCCAACTTTGCTTTCCTTCAATACAGGAATGGGTAGGACAAGTGGAAATAAGTGCCCTTTCTCTTATGTACAGGTAAGCACTGTAATTGCAAAAGTAAAAATAAAATTACTGGAAAATTAATATCTCATTCTATGAAAAATGTTAAAATAGCAAAGTTAATTTATTCCTCGGCTATATTTTTTTAAGGCTTTTTAAAAATTGCATCAGTTAGATTTTTGTCAGTGTCAGTGTTTAGAAGTTTTAATTCTCAAAACAGTTTCTGAAAAGGATACAGAAAATTGTCCAGGTTATGTCCTATGAATTATCCCTGGTCAGTCTTGTAGAGAAATAATCTACTTTTTCAGGCCCAGTAGCATTTATCAGCAACTAGAATATAGCTTTTTTTTTGGTACCGGATTCGAACTTGGGTCCTTGCACTTGCGCAGCAGGCAGTGAAACTACTGAGCTAAATCCCCGGCCCTAACAACTAGAATATAAATAAGACAGCATGTTATTCAGTTCTACTACTTTTACCCTTAAGGTTGAAATTTTATTTATTTTTTTAGAAAAGACCCTTTTACACATAGGTATTACAGCTTAGTTGTTTTATTACCTTTTTTTACTGCTGTATTTCTAGTGCTTAGAACATTACCTGGCTCATACTGGACACATTAGAATTGATGAGTGAATTAAATTTAAGTTCATAAAGTATATTCCTTTAAAAGTAATTTCTAAATGTTATTTCAGGAAAGATTTTGTAATCTATCGGGAACCAAATGTTTCTCCTTCACAAGTAACTGAAAATAATTTTCCTGAAAAGGTACGAACTTTTAAGTGTTTGTAAAGAATTTAAGCAAAAGAATCACTTAGTTGCTACTTTGCCTAAGCTATAATTTTAAATGACTTTTTGAAATCTTTCTGTGTGTAGGTTATGGTATTCTGAGTTTTTAAAGCTGCTTTTTTTGTGGGGTATGGGAGATTGAATTCAGGACCTTGTGCTTGCGAGGCAGTCACGATGTCACTGACCTAAATCCCCGGCCCAGTTACTTTTAATCATAACTGAGTTATATTATTTTGCACAAGGTCCTCCATCACTGTGTTGAACTTTCTTAAAATATTTTAGTGGTGACACTAAATTGAGACATTAGTGTATATTACTGTTTTGTTTCAGTACAAACGTTAAGTAGTAATGCGAGTTGTGAAAGTAGGCTGTGCTTTACATTCAGGAATTCTTTGGTAATCATTTGTATTTCCCATTGTAAAGATAGTTTTAGTGGCAAGGCTGTTATTGCATCATCTGGTCATAAAAACAGATACAGTGGAAATTTTTTTGAAGCCAGAAAGAAGAAAAATAAACTCATTCATTATAGTAGGAGAATTTTGTTTTAATTAGCTATTTTTGAATCACGCAGGCCAGTTGATTTGTATGTCACTGTGGTAATGGTGGTAAAGGAGGAGGAATTGAAATATTACTGCTTTCAGAACTTGGGGGTTTCCAAGGGCCTTTGGTCTGGATCTGGCTTTTCCAACTACAGTTTTTGACATGTCTAAACAAAAGTATAAGTTTCTGTACACATAATTACTTAGCTTTTTAGAAATTACGTAAAATTTTACAAAAGAAAAAATTTATCTTTGATTCTGTCACTTAAAGGTTATCATTGATAAGGTTTTAGAGTATCTTAAAGTCTCACTTTTCTTGTTCTTTAAGTACTTGAAATCATGTTTTCATATATTGTAAATTTTCTTTTGTGATCCTGTAAACTTCTGTTAACTACTAAGAACTTTGTAATTTAATGGCTAAACTGTATGCCTTTTTAGCATAGTTTGATAACATAGCTTTTTAGGTTCTGAAATACTTTCTTTGAGAGTAATCTAGTAATTCAGAGGCATTAGAGATATAAATTGTTTTGTAAATACACATGAGGGGCTGAAATGTGTTTCACTTTTTTCCCTTCAGGTGTTACTGTGTTTTTCCAATGGAAATCATTATGATATTGTCTATCCAATAAAGTATAAAGATAACTCTGCTATGTGTCAGTGTAAGTATCTAGTATTTCTATAAAAATTATATTCCTAAGCTATACAGTTGCAGTAAGGATTTCTGTACATTTTTAAAATCATTAGTGTATAGCTGGAAAATCCAAATGATTGAGCAAATCAAGCATTTGGCCCTAGGGTATGGTTTCGTCACTGTGGCACCATTGACATTTGGAGTCAGATAGTTTTCTGTCATTGGTTCTTTCCTGTGCACTGTACCATGCTGAGTAACATCCCTGGCCTCTGTCTGGGAGATGCCAGTAACACACTTCCCAATTGTGACAACCAAAAATATTTCCAAGTTTTTCCCAAATATTTCCTGATTGAGGGTGAATTCTCTCCTCCCCATTTGAGAATACCAGTACTGCTTTAGAAGAAAAATGGTTCTTCTCATCATAACTCTGTTCTGTGTTGATGTAATAAAGCACAGATTCCTCATAGAAAGCAGTCGTGCTGGGCATGTAGTAGCTTTTCCTCTGTTCTTAAGCTAGTGGTATCAGCACAGATACGTACAGTGAAACTTTAAAAAGGTTTTTAAATGAAAGAGGTTCCATTTTGAGATATGAAAATCTAGCTGTCTGTGCTGGGCTGTCTCCTCTGTCCCCTAGTCAGTTCCTACATCTCAACTTTGTGAAATACAGCTCTTACAGCCTGCCTTTTCTGTACTTGTGAGAGTGATTAATAATAGGCGTGCCTCTTATGTTACTTGAAGGAGGAAAGATAATCTTTGAGAAGGAAGTCTTTCTGGAGATTCATTTAGATTGTGAGTGTCTATAGTGCATGAATTCTTACTGTTTTTTTCATAAAGCTCATTGTATAGATAAAACCTTATAAGAGTGCTAAAGTCCATGTGATTTTGAACTTTTGGTAAAGTATACTCCCCCGTTGTCAGTTTTAGAGATTTAAAAACTTTTTTTTAAAGATTGAAGCAACATTTTCTAAATAGGCTTCTCCCTTTCAGTGGCCAATGAGAACATATTTTATAAGTTTTTATTTAGTTCTTTATGTGAAATGGAATTCTGAAGCTACACTATGTAGTCACACAAACATTCTGTTTTTTTATACAAACCTGTGTCCAAGGTTCCGCTTAGTGGGAAAGCTAAGACTAGCATCTGAGTCTTCTGAACCGTCAGCTAGTGTGTTCCTTACTACTACACATTTCTCTTTCCAGCAGTCTTACTGTGTCTTAATGTTACAGTTAGGCATGTTGTATAACATCATTCAGTCTTAGTTTCTTTGTCTGTACAACCATCCTAGTACTTCTGGTGCTGAGATTAAATGTGATGATACATAAAGCTTAGCACAGTGCGTGAAATGTATAACTGTCTATATAAATGTATAGTATGTGTGTCTCCTGTTGTCATACTTGTTTCATGGTTGTGATGCCTTTTCATGTTGCTGATAGTTTTTATTTTTTGTTTTTTTTTGTACTGGGGATCGAACTGGGGTCCTTGGGCTTGCGGGATAGGCAGTGGAACCACTGAGCTAAATCCCTGGCCCTGTTGCTGATAGTTTTAAACATGGCAGCAATTTATTATTTCAAACTGCTTATCTACACAGAGAGAGAAATTCTAATTGCCCTCTATGTAACTTTGTGATTAAATGTTACTATGAAGGGCCGGGGATTTAGCTCAGTGGTTCTACCGCCTGCCTCGCAGGCAGAAGGACCCGAGTTTGATCCCTGGTACCAAAAGAAAAAAAAAAAAAAAAAGCAAAAAATAAATGTTACTATGAGCTAATGTAGATGTCTAGTTAGGATTTTATAAGCCTTAGCAATACAGTCACATTTTTCTTGTTATTTCTTTAAATATGTGCATGATTAATGTTTCTTAAAAATCTGATTAATTGCAGCTCTCCTTTATGAATTGCTATATGAGAAGGTGTTTAAAACTGATGTTGGTAAGATCATGATGGGGCTAGACACCTCTGAAGTAGCTGATGAAGACAACAGTGAAATATCAGATTCAGAGGATGACAGTTGCAAGTAAGAATGAATTTAAATCCTAAAGTATCTTTCTTTAGCATACAAATAGACACGCGTTTCCTAACATATTACACTGTTTTCATAGAAATCACAGTCTGCCATAGAAATTTCTTTACTTGTATGATGGCACTATTGTTTGGAAAGTTGGTTGTTGGTTGATGAGAATTTACGTGTAAACTGGATAGATACTTGTTTGTTCCTACCTACATGTGTGTATTGTAAACATTTAAGTTAACTTGTCAATTGTTTATATATCCAGGGATGGAAAGTGGCTGTTTTGATTTCTTGGACTTTTATCATTTTCTTCCTTGGGTACTAAATGAATAAACACTTTGTAACAGAGTTATTGAGGCCTCTTTTTTTTCTACAGGAGACATGCAGGGTGAAACCTTGCGCTCTAGACATCCAGAGTGGTTTTAATCCTGGTTTCCTGCCAACGCACTAGACTTGGGGCAAGTTTAAGTTGTCTGAAGGAGCCTCAAGGTTCTGTAGCTGTGAAATTAGGACACTTCAGTATTTCCTCTGAGGGGAGAATTTATGAGAACTAAATGAGGTAGCATATAAGGTGCATAAGTCTAGTTCCTGGATTCAGTGTCCAACGTAAATTAGCTACTATGAATACTATTAAGAGGTTTATTTTATCTTCTTTGGCTTTTTTTCCCCTGGTATTGGGCATGGAACTCAGGACCTCGTGCTTGTGAGGCAGGCACAGTGCCATTTAGGTAAATCCCTGGTCCTATTTTATCTTCTATAAGAACCAATCCCATTATATTGTTATTCAAGCTAAAACTATTCCTTTTTTATGAGAGTGTGACAGTAGCCTGCTTGGTGTGTTACACATTGTGAAGCTGGAGATAGACATTAAGCCTTAGGATATCTAATTGTTTACTACAGAAAAACTTCAGAAAATATATATGTGTATGTTGTGATATGAATTCCAGGCATTTGTTGATAGAAAAATTTTTGATCCTTTTTGAAAATTTGGCTATCATTTCTTTATAATTTGAATCACTATCTGCTGTTGTGAAGTTTAATTGTAGAATACACTAATTGTGCACAGATAGAAATTCCTCTTCATGGCTCTCTCCAGGCACCTATATGATTAAGATGTGTTACTGAGAATGGGAGAAACTGGAAGAATGACTAGCTTGTTTAAACTTACTACCTGTGCCTGGGGTGGGAAGGGTTTCTGTGTCTTTTGCTTTTTGCTGCTGTTAGTATTAGAAGCAACTCTGGGATGGTGATTGGCAGGTAAATTACAAAATTAAGGCAAGTAAGCTGGAGAACTTTGCTAGGGAGGTGGAGCAGGTATGCAAGAAGATGGATGCATTATTGTGCTCAGTTTTATGACTACACTATTGCAGCTCTTGAAATATGAATTATCTTTCCATTGTATTAAATTTTTAAAAAATGTGTCATTTCTGAATTACAGAGGCCAGGCTTTAATTAGGGAAGAAGAATGCCATATACTCATATCAGGATTGGATAGGCCTGTGCCTGCCTTGCAAGCGCAAGGTCCTGGGTTCAATCCCTGGTACCAAAAAAAGGGATAGGATAGGCGTAGAATGGTAGTAAGGAGGACCAAGGAAGGATAAACTGTATACTCTTCTCTTGTGCCTCCTGGATTCTTTTCACATTTATATTGCTGGTTCCTGAAGTACTGGAAATTATGGATGATTTTTTAGTCTATACCAGAATATCACTACATTTGAGTAAATACTTGTAGATTGTCCTGAAAACTAGAGATTGATTTATTAAGGAGGAATTGTAGAATAAAAGAGTGCATGTCAGGGCAAGCAGAACCTCTCATTTCCCACTGGACTTGCCGTTCTGTCCCAGCCTCATTAGCCTGTTGGCCACCTCAGAGTCTTTCCATATGCTGTTACCTGTATCTGGAATACTTCCTTTGGATGTGTTATTCCCTCTGCCTGGAATACTAACTCAGCACATGGTTTGCTGTTCCACTACCTTTCTTTATTCAAAAAGACATCTCAGTAAGACCTTTTTTCATTCTTTTTATTATTTTAGTGTACACTTCCCTTTTTTCACCTGTAGCACTCATTAGCATCATATCACATACGGATAACTTAGTTTGTGTCTACTCTCACTAAATTACATATTTTATATGGGTACAGTTTTTGTGTGTTTTCTTCACTGTTGAACTCCAGTACCTTCATAATGTGTAGAGCCTGGCACATAGTAGGCACTCAAACACTTGCTGAGTAAATAAACGTAAAATATGGTTATGCGTGTGGTAGTGAATTTATAATTTATTTATTTAATTTATTTTTTTATTATTATTTTTTTGTGTGTGTGGTAGTGAATTTAGAGGGCTGATGATGGTTCTTTGGTTATACTGAAGATTATTTGATAAGGAACATGGGGATCCAACCTGTGGTCTGGAGGCCGCCTTTCCTCTTTTTCTCTTTAATATTAGAATAAAAAATATAAAAAATGAAAGTTTCTTACTTAGATATGTTAAGTGTATTACTTATTTTTTATGTAGCCCAAGAGAGTTGTGCCCCAGGTGAGCCAAAAGGTTGGACACCCATGATATATAGAGTGTTTTTAATAAAAGTTGGCTGTGGGGCCGGGGATTTAGCTCAGTGGTTCCACCACCTGCCTCGCAAGCACAAGGAGCCGAATTCAGTCCCCGGTACCAAAAAAAAAAAAAAAGTTGGCTATGAGTCTTCCTTTAGTTACTTATGTATTTGAGTCTTCTTTTCTTTACCTGTGTATTGAAAGAAAATTTTTGTGTTGACGCAAATAAATTCAGTCACCTTATCCACCCAAATAACTATGTTATTTCTGTTTTTGTTGTTGATTACTTGACTTCTGTTTTAAATACACACACTTTTAGTACACACACACACACACACACACACACACACATGCTTACACTAAAACTTGTATAAGCTTCCCAAGGTACTGTATAGCTTTATTGGTAAGTAGCTGATTTGAGATGTTTAGATGAGGTTAATTGCATGAAGTATGTTTTTCTGCTTATAATTACGGTTATATTTCTTCTTTTGTAGGAATAAAACCACCACTGCTAATGATGTGAATGGATTTAAACCTTTGTCAGGCAATGAGGTACTTTTTTTTTTTTTTTGGTACCGGGGATTGAACTCGGGTCCTTGTGCTTGTGCAGCAGGCTATGAAACCACTGAGCTAAATCCTCAGCCCTCAATGAGGTACTTTTAAGAAATGGTTCTAATTAGCTCTTCAGTAGAAAAAAGCATACAAATTTATAGTCTTATGTTTTTGGAATACATTTTCATTAGAGTCATGATCATCCTATGAATACAACAAAGTATATAAATTTTTTGTCTTAGTTTCTCTTTTTTTTTCTGATACATTTTTGGTAGAGTCAACGATCATCTTATGAGTAAGAAACTTTCTGATGTCCTTTTTTATGTGTTGTTACTGAGGATTCAACCCTGGGATGCTGTACCACTGCGCTATGTTTTGAGATAGAATCTAAGTTACCCAGGGTAGACTTGAATTTGTGATCCACCTGCTACAGCTTCCTGAGTAACTGAGATGTAAAGGCTGCATATACCACCATGCCCTGCTGCATTGTCCTAACTTTTTGAAGGGAAATTGCTTTATTTTTGTATCATTTATTACATTGATTGGTACAGTTTAGATATACATAACGGTCACATTCATTATATGGAATTTATACCTATACATGATGTATCTTTTTTTATACATGATATATCTTGATTCTTCTCCCCCCCATTCCCCTCCCCTCTCTTCTACCCTTCTCCTTATTTATAAGAACTTTGTTTCCATTTTATCTTTTTTTTTCTTTTCTCTTCCTTGCCCTTTTCCCCCTCCCTTGTTCCCCTTCCCATTTGAACATTTTCTTCCTATTTCACAGTATCTATTACATAATTTGGTCCTTATTCACACTTTCAGTTTCCACACTAGAGAAACAATGCGATATTTACATATGTGTATCTGATTATTTCACTTAAAGAGTATGGTCTCTAGGTGTATCCATTTAACTATAAATGTCTCAAGTTTATCCTTCTTTATGGCTGAGTAGTACTCCATTTTATTAAAAAAACCCCACATCTTAAACAACGCCCCCCCCCATCATCTTTATCCATCACGATGGGGATTTGGGTTGTTTCCAAGATTTAGCTATTATAGACTGTGCTACTGTGAACATGGGTGTGCATATATCACTGTGGTATGATGCTTTTAATTCTCGGGAAGATACTGAGAAGGGGGATAGCTAGGTCAAATGGAACCTCTAGTCCTAGTGGTTTTTCTTTTTTGGTATTGGATATCAAACTCAGGACCTTGTGCTTGTGAGGCAGGTGGTGGCACCACTGAGCTAACTCCCCAGCCCTAGTCCTAGTTTTTTGAGGAATCTCCCTTCTGATTTCCACAGTGGTTACACCAGTTTACACTCCCAGCAACAATGGAGAAGGGTTCCATTTTCCCCACAGCCCCTCCAGCATTTGTTATTGGTTCATTTCTTGATAACAGCCATTCTTTATGGAGCTTGATGGAATCTCAGTGTTGTTTTGATCTGCATCTCTTGAATGACCAGTGATGTTGAACAGTTTTTCAAAATAAAAGAGAAGGAATACTCCCAACATCTCATTCCTAGAACCAAGTATTACCCCGATAGCAAAACCAGAGAAGGATCCAACTGAAAAAGAGAACTACAGGCCAATCTCCCTAGTGAATATAGATGGGAAAATCCTCACTGAGATACTGGCAGACAGAATGCAGCAATTCATCAAGAAGATTATATGCCATGACCAAGTAGGATTGATCCCAGGGATGCAGGGCTGGTTCAACACATGCAAATCAATAAATGTAATACACTATATTAACAGAATCAAGGGCGAAAAGCACATGATCATCTCAATAGATACAGAAAAAGCATTTGACAAACTCCAACACTCATTCATGATTGAAAAATCCTACAGAAAGTGGGAATAGATGGTCTTTATCTCAATGTGAAGAAAGCCAGCTATGACAAACCAAAGGTCAACAACATACTAAATGGTCAGAAACTGAAAGCTTTCACTCTGAAATCAGGAAGAAGACAAAGATGTCCACTGTCACCACTCCTATTCAGTATAGCTCTGGAAACATTAGCCGGACCAGTCAGACAAGAGAAAGAAATGAAAGGAATAAAGATAGGAAAGAAAGAAGTTAAACTATCAATATTTGCAAATGACATGATGTGCTACATAGAAGACTTCAAAAACTCCAAAAGACTTCTAGATTTAATAACTAAATTCAGTCTAGCTAGATACAAAGTCAGCACTCAAAAATCAATAGCAGTAGAACAAGTAACAAGCATATTGAGAGAGAAACTAGGAAAACTACACCTTTCACAATAGCATCAAAAGGAGAGAAGCTCAGCCGGTCCCAGCACCCAGAAGGAAGCTCCCCACCTCCATCCCAGGCTCCTAGGGCAGAGAAGCTCAGCTGGTCCCAGCACCCAGAAGGAAGCTCCCTGCCTCCATCCCAGGCTCCTAGGGCAGTGAAGCTCAGCTGGTCCCAGCACCCAGAAGGAAGCTCCCTGCCTCCATCCCAGGCTCCTAGGGCAGAGAAGCTCAGCTCGTCGCAGCACCCAAAGGAAGCTCCTCGCCTCCATCCCAGGCTCCTAGGGTAGAGAAGCTCAGCTGGTCACAGCACCCGAAGGAAGCTCCCCGCCTCCATCCCAGGCTCCTAGGGCAGAGAAGCTCAGCCGGTCCCAGCACCTGGAAGGAAGCTCCCCGCCTCCATCCCAGGC